AACAACGAAAGATAGGTTTTACGTAGTCCTATCATTAAGACTTACGAGCTGTTGCGTGAGGCTGACTTACGGGTTCTTATACGTTGATTTATTGCAAAGCATTATTATGATTTATTGTTCGAGTGATTATTCAAGTGTTATACATTATAAGCGAGTAAATGAGTTGGGTTTTAGGCCGCTTTTAGCAATATTCCAGCAATATCACGGCGCCGCGGGGGACACCAGGCGGGCTTCACACAAAGTACCCATGTGGGGAATCGAACCCGGGTCGTTGGCGTGACGAGCGAACGCTTCAACCACTGGGCCACCCAACCGCCCCGTTACATATTCTGGGTGATCAGTGAAAAGTGTATCACATGCGTAAAACGTATCAACACAATACCCCTTTAATCTTTAAACTGTAACCTCTTTAAACTTTCCCATGCCATTTCGTCCGGATTATCAAAATTCCAATCAACGAATAATTGACAATATCCCATTGGATACATGCAGTTATTCTCAACAGTGATTATCCGGGATTTTTTTTTATTTTCCTACAAACGGGGCTCCATAGAATTACGTCAAACGTCAAACACATGTTCATTTAATGCGACGGGCGTTTCCCGTTATCCTTGAAACAAACTAATATCTCATTTTTTTACTCCGTAATCACTCACCGGGCACATGTTTGACAGTTCAGTGAACAGATAGTGTCATCTAGTATTGTAAAGAATGCAATCATCTTGCATCAGTGATTGCAAAGGGAGTAAAACAAGGAAAGTAGGCTCTTAGTACTGGATATGTTTAATGTTCCAGCCTGAGGCTAAATAAGGAGGACTGTTAGATACTCCAAGTCTGTCTTCCCCTCGGGATAAGCGCCTGTACCTGGTATACAGTGGCGGCATCAGTGTGGGCAAATCTTGATGAAGACTGACTGTGCTTGGCTCCCATCTCAGTACCATGAGCATATACATCCACTGATCAAATTATATCTAAAACCAGTGTCAGTACGAGACTTCTAACACACTTTACTTTGACCCCATACACACGTAGGGTGGAAAGCTTTGGTTGATGAATCAGACTTTGTTCATTAGGAAGAAGATATTATTTCTTTGAAAACGACTGTCAGATGATTGGCACTATGAACAATGGTCATTTACATATTGTGGATTAAACGCAAATTCTGGTAATATTTTCGATGTACAGTAAAATATCGTTGTGTCGAACATACGGGTCTCTCGAAGCAAGCAACTGGTCAATAAAAATCCCTTTAAAGTCATCTTTAGATTATCTAAAGGATGTTAGTCTGAAGATGAAGCGTTCAAGACGAAGAAGCAGAACATAAGATTCTGCAAAAGGTATCCGTTATTTCTGTCGAATAACTTATTTGAGTGGGATTATTTCTGTCGAAGTTTAGGGGCCTACGTAATTACTTCGAGCTAGCCTTAGCCTTGTTGTATCGAACCAAGGCTAGCTCGAAGTAATTACGTAGGCCCCTAAACTTCGACAGAAATAATCCCACTCAACTGTGACTCAAACAAGTTATTCGACAGAACGGCGTATATTTCACTATTATGAAGATATAACGGATACCTTTTGCAGAATCTTATGTTCTGCCACTTCATCTTAAGCACTTTATCTTCATCCTCAGAGTGAGGTGAGATGAAATTGGGTTTAACGTCGTGCTTGAGAATATTTCGCTCATATGACGACGTGCATGCGTGTGTATGTGTAGGTGCGGCTGCTTGTACTAGCCCAGACTTAAGCTAGTTTTATAGTGCTAGCCCACTGAGATACCATGCCGCAGTGAAGCATGAATACCCCACTCAGACACATTATACTGACTCCGAGCCGACCAGTCCTTGTTGTACCCATTAATGCCGAGCGCCAGGCAGGTACCATATTTTAACGTCTTTTGTAAGACGCGGTCGGGGATCGAACCCGCGACCTTCCGCTCTCCGGGCGGACGCTCTAACCACTACACCACGGAGGCGGTCTTCATCTTCAGACTAACATCCTTTAGATAATCTAAAGTTGATAATAGTAATCTATGGCCATCTTGACCAGCGGTAGCCTTCGGTCATTGTCTCAACGTTCTCATGTCGTCAACACAAATGTGACCGTATGACCGGTCAGTGTCCCTGGGGAGGGTCGTGATATATGCACCTCAATGACTAAGCCATTAACTTGACCCCCGTCACCCGGATAAGTCCTGGGTATTACATCGTGAATATTAATGGTCAACGTCCGACAGTACCGGACCCTCGGGCTGGCGATGAATGGCACTCAGACAAGGGTACGCACTGACAAAGCACGCCCCTTGTGCACAAGGTATTTACACTGCTATAGAATGTGGAAATGAGAATTACATAAGTAAAGTCCCACAGACAGGGGTCGTATACAAAATTGTGAACAAGCTGTCGTATATCGTCACTGAACACCATATATTTATATTTAGGAATTAGTAACTTTAGGTTTTTGAAACCGCGTTACAATCGAAAACAATGGCATTTTTACGTGAACATTAGTCATGGTATCTTAACTAACAGGCTTAAAGCGACTTTGACGTAAGATATTGCCACGTTCCATACAGGGCAGCCTATAGACGTGAGTGGGAAACAGTAATATATTTATTTGACGCGTCAAACAGACTGCGTATGGAAGAAATATATTGTCGCTGACACTGTGATCACACGAAATGAAAGAATTGCCATATCAATCTTTGTCACGAATGATGTCGAGTTAAAATTATGATTGAGCATGAGTATTTAAAACCAATTGAGAATTTAAACAAAAATTACCTGGGTGATAAATGACATGAAATTATTTTAAATTACATCTTGTCGGAAGGCAAGACTCATTGGAGCTCAATGTCACTGTCTGTCTGTCTGTCTGTATGTCTGTTTGACTGCTATTCAGTGTCAGCCAAGAACTGGTACAAAAATACATTGGTTTTCCATCCCAGCTAACTCACTACCTTTTCGCAACGAACGAACAAACATTGACGTGAATTTCTGTTTTGTTTCCTATGTACTGTTGACTACTGGGAAAACTATTAAACTATCAACGTTAAATAGAACGTTAAGACAACGTAAAATACGTTAGCGTCAAATAACGTTACCTCGTGGCGACGTAAAAATGACGCATCACAACGTCAGGCCACAATGTTGTGACGACATAAACGGCAGCATAACGCTTAACAACGAAATCATAACGTTGTGATAACGCTGTGACAACGTGAAATTGTTAGCTGGGATATATCAGATTAACTGACTGATATGCAGGGTCGCCGTGAACCTGTTTCTGAATGTACCTGTTCCGATTGATATAATTGTATAATATGTATATATACTTCTTCGTTTCACCATACGCTCACGTGTATATCGTTGAATGGGTTCTTTGTCAAACTTATAAGAACTCCATATGAATTGATTGAATGGCTCACGTCGTGACTGAATATGTCTGTTCCGAATAATAATATTTGCATGACGCAGGACAATGGAACGTCTACCGCCATGTATGTCACGTGTATATTGACATATGCTAGACAATGCCTGAGTCCTTGCTAGGAAAGTTGGCTAGACACTTGTACAGACATTTGTGTTGGTCCTAGATGACCTGGGAACAGGCACTGCCTCCATGATCTCTCAAGGTCATACTTCGAGATGTTTCCTCATGATTCGGGCGTTGTATTCCTACACGGATCTCGTCTCAGGCCTTCTGATTGGAGGGAACCTGAGATGTCATTTATTATGTGTTCATCCGCTTATGTCTCACAGAAAGTAGGGCATTTGGACCCGATCCGTTATCTGATTTCCTTTAATACACTGTAGTACAGCCATATTATCTCGAAACTTATACATATAAAGTATATTGTTAACATTAAAGCTAGGCTGTTATTTACACATGACTCTGTAATACATGTTATGAATTCTAATTACATTAAAATAATGTGAAATTATGAAACAATTTGAATCGTTGAAGATAAATAAAAAAGTCAGTTCTTTCGTAATATGAGTGCAGATGCAACACTACAAAAATATAGTTTCTGCAAAAAATAGGATATGAACTGGAAGCTGCGTCTTAATGTGTTTGTAAATCAAAACCAAATAGTGATGACACCAGGTGTTCGGGAAAGGTGCACCGGTCACAAACACATGAAAATGCAAGTCAACTGTTCAGAATGGCGAGTTATTTTTGTTACTGATACATATTGTACTGAAATGTCCACAATGAGTCTTTGAACATTGCAACAATGATCAAACACATTTTGAGCAATGTTTCTTACGTGAATGGTTCATTTTCGATCCGATTCTTTAGCATCAATCTGAATATGGTCTCTTGTTTTCCATGCGAGGTGTGTAAAAACACGAAATTGACGATTACGAGCATGATTACTAGGTGCAGGATCTTTGTCATCGGTCCTTATTATACTGTTCACACTTTGCTAAGGATCAAATCATGGATTCAACAGAAAACTATGATGTGGGGTCAAATTTGGTCTAAATATCTAAGCTTATTATAAGCATGGATCCTAGGTTTCAGTATGTCATTGCATACCTGCTATTGACAGGTGTTGTTTATTTGTCAGTGACTCGTTCCATGATTTGCAAAATGGTTGATTGGTGCCATGAAAACCATTTTAATGGTTAATCATGTATCAAATGCATAAGGTTAGATTAAAGTGGCTGTTTGCCTAAAGAGGGTTTACCATATTATCATTTATCCAGTTTTAAATGGATACAGTTTCAAATTATAAATCGACGTTTAGTAAAGTTGTGAATTTTTGTGATCCTTATCAAAGTGTGAGTAGTATATGTACTACTTGAAAAGGTGAATGGCAGTTGTTGGTCTAGTGTCTGGATTAACACAGGGCACCCGTGTTTATCCAAACATTTCTTACATTGACTACCGAAATATGATGCTGTGAATATGAACTGCTTTTGTCCATGGGTAATTAGGTTTCTGTTATGACCAGGTACAAGACATGTTGGGAGATGTTGTCGATGTAACTGTCCTACCTGGGGGTGGCGGCGGCGGCGGTGGTGGTTGTGGTGTTGTTGTCGAGCTTGACGTTGTTGAAGGTACCCCAGTTTGAGCTGAAATAGAACGTGATATGGTTTAAAGAATTGTTTGGCATCATGAAATAGTACGTGACATGGTCATATTGTTTCGCATCATGAATTAAGTCATTGTTTGGCATGATGAAATAGCTCGTGACATAAATTAGGTTATCGTTTAGCATCATGAAACAGACCGTGCCTTGGATTAAGTAATGGTTTGGTATCATGGCATAATACGTGACATGAATTATGCAATTGTTTGGCATCAACAAATAGTACGTGATATAGATTTAGTAATGATTTGGCATCATGAAATAGTTCGTGTCATGGATTAAGTTATTGTTTGGTATGGTGAAATAGTTCGTGACATGAATTAAGTTATTGTTTGGCATCATGAAACAGCAGACTGTGCCATGGATTAAGTAACGGTTTGGTATCATGACCTAGTACGTGACATGAATTATGCAATTGTTTGGAATCAACAAATACTACGTGATGTCGATTAGGTAATTATTTGGCATCATGAAATAGTTCGTGACATGGAATAAGTCATTGTTTGGTATGATGAAATAGTTCGTGACATGAATTAAGTTATTGTTTGCCACCAAGAAACAGTCCGTGACATAGATTAAGTAATGGTTTGGTATCATGAAATAGTACGTGACATGGATAAGAAATTGTTTGGCATCATGAAATAATACGTGACATGGATAAGAAATTGTTTGGCATCATGAAATAGTACGTGACATGGATAAGAAATTGTTTGGCATCATGAAATAATACGTGACATGGTGACATTGTTTGGTATATTGACATAGTGTGAGACATGGATTATGTTATTTTTGCACTACTGTTGGACATGGATAGTACGTGGTTAAACCATAGCCAAAAAGTGAATTTGCACATCACGTAACCGGACGTCTTCTTCGTTCGTAAACAAATGCGCTTGTATTGAAATCAGAGCAGTCAAAACTGAAGAGTGTTTTGGGCGAGATACCCTTACATAACTGATACACAGAAATATGATAACATATCTTCGCCCACCAAGGTATTGCCAGCTATATAAACATACTGATTTATTGTCTGTACACCGAGCCATGGTTAAGGCGCAAATAGAAACAGTTTCGATTTCTCAACGAAATTAAACAATTTAATGAATATTTTTAGCTAAACATGTATACCCTTTAAAACGGAAATGGATGGAAACTGTGTAAGAAGTGAAGACTCGTGTCAGGCATTTGACAGAGGTACTTAGTTGAACGAAAATGACCCCGGGAGGACAAGTAATTGACTTTATCCGGGTTACGATGATGTCACACCAGCAGATCCGGGTTTCACCTTGTCATCAATCGTGATTGTTTCTCACGACCTTGTTCAGCGGAGAACAACAATTCCCCCTCACCCCACACAAACATCCAAACCCCACCCCTGTGAGTTTATTATGTGTGTATTTACTTAAATGGATCAAGATTACATAAAACTATCGCATGTAACAACCCAACACATACATAGTGTGTGTGTGTGTGTGTGTGTGTGTGTGTGTGTGTGTGTGTGTGTGTGTATTTATTAAGATGTTTTGAAGGAATGTCTTATTACTATACTTTCCACTAACAAGTGTGTGTTTACCACGTACCACCACGCTAGTGTGCATTACGAGATAGGGTTGTCCTTATTTATGAGGTCCTACTTTGTTGAAAGCTTGAAACATCAGGTGGAATCAGGGATTCGAACCAATGACCATGAGTTTTCCCCACGTCGAAAGGACGCAGTGTTGAACTGCAGCAACTTGGCATATAGTATTATATCTAATATCCACTGGATGTTGAAGGAAGGTCCGGAGTGAACACGGTCTCTGCATATGATATAACGGTTTTCATATGATATTTGCAATACAGGACCTCAGGATCCTTGTAGTATCCATTTCTCTCTCGATATTTCGATATTCTGACATAATGAGTGTTTTTTTGTGTGTGTTTGTGCCGGTTTTAGCAATAGACCAATCATATTACTGCCTATCTGCTTAAGATAGGACGAAAGACATAAGCGAAAGCACACATTTGGTATGATGTAGATGTGCCACGGCGTCTCAACTTAACAGGGGCGTGGGGTAGCCTAGTGGTTACACAGCGCTCTCTCGTCACGCCGAAGACCCGGGTTCGATTCTCCACAATGTGTAAAGCCCATTTCTTGTGTCTCTCGTCGTGATGTTGCTGGAATATTGCTTAAAGCGGCGTAAAACCAAACTCAGTCAGTCAGCTTAAGACGGGGGGAAAGCGAACGGGATGCAGGTTGTAGGCGTCTACCATTTTAATGAAACCTTACAAATCTAAAAACACAAACGGAGCGATCTGGCATTCGAAGAAACAAGCATTGGTTTCTGTAGGCCCAAGTGGCACATATCTCACAGGTAGCCAAATGGTTAAAGCGTTGGCTCATCACGCCGAAGACCCGGGTTCGAATCCCCACATGGGCACAATGTGTGAAGCCCATTTCTGGTGTCCCCCGCCGTGATGTTGCTGGAATATTGCTAAAAGCGGCGTAAAACCTAACTCAGTCAGTCAGTCAGACATCTCTCACAGGGCTTACTCGACAAAGCCACCACTAAAGAGAGAACCAATATATGTATGGGCACAAATTCTAGCTCGAGAAACCCAAGGCTTGTTGGTATGTTTAGGGTTTGTTTGATGGCAATGTTGCTTTTTAAGCAGACATATTCAACCCTGGATTCTTTGTGGAGTAAAATGATACAGCAAAATAGCTGTCCTCAACAAAGGACACATCCATTTTGAACTTCCCAGGGCAAAGAATACGTCATGACTTCACTCCCTCTTCTAGCCATGTTAGATGAGGGCCTACACCCAGTGTGAACACGTCTCCACGTATAATCCCCCAGACCACAGGGTAAGCTTCGGGTTAATTGCTGAACTAACACTTAGGCAGGTGACTTCTCAGCCTCCAGAAGAACGCAAGGTGTAAAATCTGGGCTTTTTGAAGAAGACAGTGCATCTCGTCTTGGGATAGATACGACATTTACATACCGGTGACATCACTGAGACAACAGCAGCGACGACGACAAAGCGTATTTCGGGCATGAAAGATGACATTTTGACGGCTTTGGTAACCGGATTGACTTTTTTAAAAGACTCTTCTTCCTTTACCTTTCCTGACCTTTCATTTTTACTTCAAATCGAAACAGAATGTGTGTCAGTTTGGTTTCAAACGGGTTGGGACACAGTTTTGGGAGACCGCGAGAACTCAAAACGAATGAGTACTTAAGTATATATGCCTCTATTAGCAATATCAAGGCGGGCACGCCAGAAACGGGCTTTCTACCCATGTGAAAAATCGGCCCCGAGTTTTCGGCGCGACGAGCAAACGCTTTAACCACAAGGCTACCCAACCGAATACAAAGAACGTTGTCTATCCCTCTTGTAGGAAACAAACATGAAAGAAAGTTTCAATGCTTTCTCTGATATATATTTTCAAAGTCATGGTCTAACATTATTCATGATTGAAGCTGCCTGAAAGTGGTTTCCCTGAAGCGAAACACAGATTAAATAATTAAACAAGTCTTTTAGTCTGTTGTTTACCGCACTACACAGCAGTATTATTCCAGCTGTATGGCGGGGATCTGTAAATAATCGAATCTGGACCCAACAATCCAGTGATCAACAGCATTAGTATCGATCTACGTTTTGAATAGAACCAAGGTCATTGGTGAGACGAGTAAACGCCTTAACAATTTGTCAATCCAACCGCCCTTTAATGATAGTGAGTGAGTGAGTGAATATGGTTTTAGGCCGCTTTTAGCAATATCCCAGCAATATCACGGCGGGGGACACCAGAAATGGGCTTCACGCATTGTACCCATGTGGGGACTCGAACCCGGGTCTTCGGTCCCTTTAATGATATGCGGGGGAGGGGCGACACCTTGTCTTGAAGCTTGTGAAGGGCTAGGAAGAGAATGGGGGTCGGATGTCACATGTCGTCACGCTGAGTCACAAGGAACAAAGAAACTTCAAGGAAACATTGGAAACGTGTGAAGCGTGCGAAGCGTGCGTAGGGCTAGGAAGTATCCAACAAATGCACTAATGACGGGCGAACAGTTTTGGATTCACCCAACACGGATGTTTCAAGATGTGTTATTTGAATTTCTTGGCACGTAATTATGACATGTCACGCGACCTTTTTGTTTTTTTTATCTCTTGCGCTAAAATGCATACAAATAGGTTCAGGAACGAAGTAAGTGGCGTGACTTGTGTCCAAGGCAGCCTGCATGGTGTTGACGTCATTTTATGTCGGCCAATAATATTGCACCAGATGCTGAATTGGATGGCAGCTGATTTTGTTGACGCTGTCGTTATTCAGTATGAGTGAGTGAGTGAGTGAGTGAGTGAGTGAGTGAGTGAATGAGGTTTTACTCCGCTTTTAGCAATATAAGGACAGCATGAGGGGAATCGAACCCGGGTCTTCGACGTGACGACCGAATGCTTTAACCACCAGACTACCCCACCGCCTCTGCTTTGATCAGGATGAGGTGGTGACGTTCAAGATTAGCTTCGCCTTTAAGATCGCTACATATATATATATTGTGTGTGCGTGTGCGTGTGCGTGTGCGTGTGCGTGCGTGCGCACGAGTGTTAGAATTGGGATGATTCTCTTGAATGTCACATGGAAAGCCCGGTTAGGATTCCCTAAATGGATACAAAGTGTGAAGCCCTTTTCTGGTGTGACTGCCCGAATATTGTTAGAAAGGCCGTGAACCCCCAATTCATTACAGCAGAATAAAGCGAGAGAAATTGGAAATATCCGAATGAGCTTCGATATCAGTCATATCATCTATTGGGAATATATATGTGTTATGTGAGCCAATGGGAATGGTGTGGGGTCAGAGACGAAGCTGTGGACTTACTCACCATGGCATCTTCTCTGAATGGTCGAGGTATTGCATCAAAGGCGATCAAATCTCATTTGAAACCCATAGCCCTCAATGCATTGAACCAACATTCTTGAAAGGAGCAAAGAGGATTACACTG